CATAAATGGGGAGACCTGCAGGCTTATTCTACTAAATTTATAGCCCGGCTACAAGTTGGATTTTGGCTTGAACTTTATATATTCCTACTTCAAAATCCAACTTGTAGCCGGGCTATAAATTTAGTAGAATAACCCTGCTGATGTCCACAAGTGAAAAACTGTGGTCATAAGTGGCGACTTGTACATTTTTATGTTAATATTTTTTTTGTATACATCTGTTTCAAACAGTAATAATAAGACCTTCGATAATGTATGTAGAATACCTTTACCCGCACCCTCTGTAATTTTTACTAATACTATCCTTTAGATTTTTCTTAAATAGGAGTGATTTTCTTTTAGAATTTTGTGAATGTTGCCATAATCGGTACCAGCACCTATAAATATTGCGAACACAAAATCAATGTGTGTATAGGTACATCGTAATAAATACAAAATAAATTATTTTCGTCTCCAATAAATAAAGCTTATATATAATTAGTTTTTCGTACTCTCAATTAATTTCTCTGAAATGAAATATACTGTGTACTCTCAATTGAATTCTAAGTTCAATTGACCATCAAACTTCCCAGCAACTCTAAATAGCGCCATTAAAAACTTCGACTATCAATCAATTTTATGGCAGAGGTTGAGTGTTGCAGTTGGGAGTGAGTGTGGCAAAGTTCTAATATGATAACGATATCCTGAATACTAATTTATGTCCGTCAAATATAAGTTTACAAAAAGATTTGGTTTCGCAATGTTATTCTGGGTACAATATATTTAACGTAAGTACACTCTAAAAAATGTGTTTGACAATATGATTTTTGTAATACGGTACTCTATTATGAAATAAATTAGATAATCTTTATAGAACTCCAAATAAAATGCCAAATCGTCAGGATAACAGTAGGTGTTCTTACCGGATACTGTAGCAACTTTATGCATGTTCTGTGAAGAAAAAGAAGAAGAAAAAATCAATCCACGTCCTGTACCAATGACTAGATTAAGGTTTTTAACAATAGCTGAAGAAATACCAAACGTATGGCACATGTCAATGCTGCTGTCTTAAAAAGACCAAGCTAGACGATATACTCTTTAAAAAAAGGGGGTCCCACAATATATCCGGAAATATCGCGATGGACAAGGACTAATAATGTCCAATTCCTTCCCAACTAACAAAATAGCCTTATAATTTTTAGTTTTTAAGACTTCTATTGGTTGCGCGTGAAGGGCGCTGGTTACTTATAAAGAAGTAATTTCAGAGAGAACCATTTATTTTATATAAGAGGTGACAAATATACATCGAATTGACATTAATTCATAATTAACATTTCATTTCACATATCTCTAGTAACATAGTAACAGTGACGGCTCGTCGGCTCGTCCATCAACAAGCAAACATAACATACTCCCGGCCTTGAAAGTCTATAACTTTCAATTTAAAATACAGGCAGTGGACATATTGTGGAAATGGCTCTTATAGTGACACCCTTTGCAGTCTTGACAATGGCAATTCGAGAGATGCCATCGGTTCCAAATTTAAGCTCCGTAACACGACTAAAACACCATTGTAATACAGGCATATTGTCTTCTTTTATTACCACAAGTTGTCCTACTTGCAAGACTTGGCCATTCTTGGTTTTCCATTTGAAGCTAGTTTGTAATTGACTGATATACTCCTTGCTTCATCTATCCCAAAAATGTTGCTGCATTTTCTTTATGTGCTATTACAAACTCAGCCGATTATCCGGAATTCCCTTCAGGTCGGTCTCTAGGATAGCGTGGAGTGATCTCCCAATTAAACAATGAGCTGGCGTCAAAGCGGAGAGGTCTGAAGGTTCGGAACAGAGTGGAGATAGGGGACGGGAATTTAATACAGATTCGATTTGTACTAAGAATGTGTAAAAATCTTCATAGGTTAATAAACATTCACCAATTACTCTACGTAAATGATTTTTGACATTGCGCACACCTGCTTCTCATAATCCCCCAAAATTTGGACTATTTACCGGAATAAAATGAAATTTAATATTTAAGTTTAATACTGAACCACAAATAGTTGCAAAATTTTCTAATAAAAAGGTGTAAAATTCAGTGAGTTCCCTATTAGCACCAACAAAATTAGTGTCGTTGTCTGAGTACGAGTCAGAGGGGAATCCACGTCTAGATATAAATCTATGTAGGCATTGAATAAAGGCATTAGTACCCAAGGAAGATACTATTTCCAAATGTACGGCTTTTAAACTAAAGCATATGAATAAACAAATCCTACATTTATAAGTTTTTGCACCTCTACCCTTTCGGTCCTTTAACAAAAACGGTACAGCGTAATCAACACCGGATATTGTAAAAGGTAGATTGGGCGTTATTCTGGGTGTTGGTAAAGAAACCATAAGCGGATGAAGAGACTTCGCGTTTATTTTAGCGCATTTTACGCACTTGCGATAAATGAGTCTGGCTAAGTTATTACCACGTACAACCCAAAATTTCTCCTTTATATGTGCAGAGAGTAATTGTGGGCCTGGATGTAATAGTCTGGTATGTTCATAGATGAAAATTAATTTTGTTAAATGATGACTGGATAATAGTAAGATAGGATGTTTTTTGTCAAATGAATAAAATGAATTTTGTAAACGTCCACCTACAGGCAGTAAGTTGTTTTCGTCTAAAAATGGATTTAAACTCAAAATTTTACTATCACGATTCAAAGATTTCTTCTGGTTTAGCCTATGTATCTCTACTGGAAACATTTGTGCTCGTGACAATTTGATAAGCCTATTAAAGGCAAAGTTTAAATCGTCAACTGTTAAAAAACCCGAAGTTCGTTGATTTTTTAAAAGTTTACAGTTTTTTAGGAAATATATATGCCATGCGTCTTTTTATTCTGTTTAAATTTGAAAATCGATTAAACGAAAAAAACTCAACTGGTGACAAATTTATTAAGCACCTTTTAATTTCAGGTAAATCCAAAAATTCTAAATTCAAAACAGGCCAATTATCTTCGCTTAACCTCAACCACGTAGGCCCGTACCACCACAATTCTGAGGCGGTTATAATACTTGAGTTTAACCCTCGAGACAAAAGATCTGCAGGATTATGTTTTGTTGGAACATGCATCCACTGACAATCTTTTGTTAGTTTTTAAATTTCTGAAACTCTATTGTCTACAAATGGTTTTAATGTGTGTGTGTGTGTGTGTGTGTGTGTGTGTGTGTGTGTGTGTGTGTGTGTGTCTGTGTCTGTGTGTGTGTGTGTGTGTCTGTGTCTGTGTGTGTGTGTGTGTGTGTGTGTGTGTGTGTGTGTGTGTGTGTGTGTGTGTGTGTGTGTGTGTGTGTGTGTGTGTGTGTGTGTGTGTGTGTGTGTGTGTGTGTGTGTGTGTGTGTGTGTGTGTGTGTGTGTGTGTGTGTGTGTGTGTGTGTGTGTGTGTGTGTGTGTGTGTGTGTGTGTGTGTGTGTGTGTGTGTGTGTGTGTGTGTGTGTGTGTGTGTGTGTGTGTGTGTGTGTGTGTGTGTGTGTGTGTGTGTGTGTGTGTGTGTGTGTGTGTGTGTGTGTGTGTGTGTGTGTGTGTGTGTGTGTGTGTGTGGGTGCGTGGGTGCGTGCGTGCGTGTGTGTGTGTGTGTGTGTGTGTGTGTGTGTGTGTGTGTGTGTGTGTGTGTGTCTGTTATGAATAAAATAATAACACATAAAAAAATTTACCAATAATGTAATACTTACAATTTTCTTTAACAGGTTTGTGAGATACAAATAAAACAATAATTTGCAACCTTGCAAATAAATCCTTGAGAATAGTGTATCTGAATAAAACTGATTTCACTGGTAGTATCAGTCAGGTCGTTAAAAAAACCACAGGAAACAGTTTTTTTTCAAAAAAGTACAAGGAATCTACAAAGAATAAAGTTTATAAAAATAAATAATTAGGAGAAAAACGATAAATAAATAGAAACATGTCGATTAACAATTAATTAATAAATTATAAAATAATAATCTCAACTTTATAAGAGAAAATTACGAAACTTTATGCCTGACAGCAAAAAACATATTTTATTGAAATTGAAAATACTTGTAAATAATTTTAAGTGGGCGCTGTGTCCATATTTCTTGTACATCGAGCGCCCGACGCTTTTTTTCACAATAATACTAGTATTTTTCATTAATTATTGTTTTAAGCTTATTTGAAAATTATTTTTAACTTTTTAGTTTCATATGCTCTAAATGCGCGTTTGTTAGTTTTTTTAAACTATATTTATTATGTAGAGTTTTTATCTTCAAAACTCGAACAAAAAGTACACTTATTTTTTATATTTTACTCTTAATTACAATAATAATTTGGAGATTTCAGCTCGCCGACTATTTTGTGATTATGTCTATCTCCGCCTTTTTGAAACAGAACATTTTACACATTATTATCCCATTTTGTTTGTGGAATGGCGAACCTAAGAGAAACCGTAATTTTCAGGTTTTTGCAGTAATCACTTGCAGTAATTCGTTGTTTTCCGTACCTTTCTTCAAAGCATTTTGACTTTTATTTTACCTTGTTTTGTCAGTGAATTATTCATCTTTAGCTTACAAAATTTTACATGCTTTCTATTGGGAATTGGTTAAACTAATAGCATTTTTTTTCTGTATGTGGATTACTATGAATATTTGGATAGATAAAAAGGTATTACACTTCTATTATAGCCAAAAAAAATAGGAAGAAATATTCCTTATTGGAGTACTAAAATTTTTACTGATTGAATCAACCCTGGCACTACAATTTGCACAAATTTTATATATTTTTAATTTAGCCACTCTAAATGCATTTTACAAAGTTTCATCTATAAAATCCCTGGAGATTTTATAAAGAGATCCTTGCATTTAAGACAATGTAGTCTTTGAATGCCAGAAGAGGCGAAATTATCCATAAACCGGGTCATTGTTTAAGTTATAGCTCCTTCTGCAAATACGTTTTTGATTTAAAAGGCGCTCCTATATAATCTCAAAGTAAAATTTCTAAAGAATTTTATATTCTAATTAAAAAACCGTGTATCTTATGACTTCATCTTATAGAACAAGAATAACCTTTAAATCTAATGATTTTTTTAATATATAATTTGGAAATATCTTATTTTAGTTACAAATATGCAAACAATGAACAAAATAAAGTTAAAAATTACAAAAATATTTATTTATCCAATGTGTGTATCCAAGATAGAGAATATACCCAGCAATCCATCTTTAAGTTTACAATTGGAGTAAAGACTTTGACATTTTACACCATATTCGCCAGCTTGCTGTGCTTCTTGGTAAACAGGGTCCAAACCTGGATCTATTACACCATCTCCATAATTTGGACTAAAAGAATAAACAAAAGTTAACAGCATAGTTTTTTGTTTTATTTTCAAATTTATTGTTTCAAAGAAAAAATATACAAAAAGGTTATTCAGGAAACTAAAAAAGTTTATTTTGAAAACCAGAGATTTATTAAAAAATAAAATAAATCCTTACGGATAAAATGTAAATATGACTCTTGGATGATAAGGAATAGATATAATTAGAGCTTGGAATATATGCAAAATGCATATAAAGTGAATGCTTGCATATTTAATGCAGAATTTTGTATACATATTTAAAATAATATTGCATATCTTAAATATTAATGCATATCTAAAAATAAAATATTTTTCAATTGTACCTGCATTTTATCACGAAATATTAACAAAGTGGGTATTTTGCTCTCTAAACACTAGGTATTAAGGATTAGGGAAATTAGGGGTTGATTGATAGCATATGGCTTCATAAAATTTACCTGTTTTTGTGTAACAGGTCCTGCAAAAGTGCCGTTAGTGTGAAAGTAAAAGCGTTCATTTTAAAACTGCTGAACAGTAAGTAGGAATTACTTTGAATTTCACAAAAGGGGAGGGAGGTGGTTAAAAATACAGGCTCTTAATAATTAGGAAGCGACCTGGGGTTGGCGGTTACAGTATTGACTAGTCATGCAGAAGGTCAACGATTATAAATATTTTTTGAAATTTTTAAATATTTTTTAGTGGGGCGTAAAAAAATATACTATACAACTCGATCGGATTGTCCATATTACACTCTTTATGCGATATGGCCATCATATCCATAGTTGTTTACATATTCCCTAGATGTTTTGAGTGCATAAGTGATATTTAAAATATTACAGATGACGATGAATATGGTAATTTCTGGCTGAGTTCGGCAAATATCTTCCTCTTAATTATATATCTAACTTCAGCCAACATTTTAATCATTATAAACAAAATAGGATTATGATGTAATATAAAGATAACCTTATTGATCTATTATACAACCACTTACGTTAAAATTATATGAAATATTTTGCCATATAATCCATTTGCTTCATGATCTAACGGATCTAATGCATTTTCACAAATACTTCTTAGTATACATGCCCTGCCATTTAGGCCATCACTAAAACAATAAATCAAATCTCTTACTACTGAAAATTTGTAGACAAAAAAATTTACTTGTTAAAAATGTCTTCAAGAGCACTATAAAACATCGCCCTATCACTTTTCTGTGTTTCTTTATCATTAAAATTAATAGACCTTTTCCCAGTATAAACAGGAGGATAATTGACTAATTGTGTTGCATTTGTAGGTACTGTGTACTGCATTTGAAGGTTCCAACCGATTGCCATCGACTGTTTAGAACCTAGTTTCACAGGGGTACCGATACCAATTACGATCTAAAAATAATTATTTACTAATATGGAGGGCTCAGAAGTCATTCAGTTTAAGTCAATATTTTCTTGAAATTGAGTTAAGTACTTTAAGTGTTACTTTATAGTTCATATTTTCATTGGGCAAAATCCCTGCTTGACAATATCAGCAATAAATGGTGACACCTATTGTAACCACCAAATAAAAATTCAAATATTTTAGATGTCAATCGGTGTTAGTCATTTTGTGTTTATTTATGTTATTTCGGTGCTAAAAATATAAGTTTTAGCGGGTTTCACGTCGCAATGAGTGAAAATATAGATCGAATAACGATAGAAAATGTCCAGAATGACCCCTACTCCGATAGTGGATCAAAATATACACCAGAAAATAAGGGGTCTCGTAGTTTCCAGGAAATTGTATCATGTCTGGTGAAACACCTGAAAGAACATGCTACCAATTATAATGATAATGTTATGTACTCTGACTATTGCACTGGCCAAAACTGTAATATTAAATTAAACTTATCTTTACTTAAACTTGTGCAAGATCCAGAAATGACTACATCTTTTATTGACCACAAATTCTTGGTTTCTGGACACAGTTATTTGCCAAACAACGCCGACTTTGACGTCATCGAGTCAATATAAAAAAAAAGGAATTTATTTTCGGTCCTAGAGATTGGATAGACTTGGTAACAACTGCCAAAAAAACTTACTCATTCCAGGTAGTTGAAATGAACAGAGAAGAATTTGTCTCAACAAAACCGTTAGAAGAGTCGATGTGTAATAGAAAAACCAATACTGACGGGCGTAAAGTCAATTGGTTACAAACAAAATAGCTTAGGTATTGCAAAAATGAACCAAAAACGATATTTCCGTTTATTAAGATCAACAGTGCAAAGGCTCCTACAAAAGGAAGGCCTCCCAATTTGGTTAATATTGTTTAAGAACCACTTTACCCAAATCGTAGGCCTGTCAAGCCGATTAAAAAGAAGCACATGTCTGATTTGCTGCCTTACATTCCCCCGCACCACCTCCCTTTTTTATAAAAGTTTGCCAGTAGTAAATGAGAGAACCCAAGCTTCGAAAGGTTATATGGAGGCAGAAAATAATGTCAGTGATAGTGAAGATTCAGACTACATAGACTAAACAAAAAAGTTTCAGAGGACATTAAGCTTAAGTCTTTTTTTTTTTGAAAATTTCGTTTTATGTTTTTAAATTTTCTTACTTTTGTTTTAGTTTTCTTGTATTTGAATATGTAGGTATGTTATCTTTAAATAAAAAAAAGTATTTTGCATTTTTACAGATATTGTATTTTTTTATGTCCAATTAAAATAAAACACCACTTATTTTAAATTTGTTTTTTTGTGACTTACACTGATTGACTTCTGAGCCCTCCATATATTAATAATAAAAACATGGATATATTTACCTTGAAAGCTCCGCCCTGTCGATAAACTACAAATCTTTTGTCTCTACTATGATGTTTAGAACAGAAAGCTAGTCCAAAGAGTACGTAAGTAAAAAAATACAAATTGATTTGAAAAACCTGAAAAAAAAAATTATCGAATATTTTATTCCTTAAATTACAAAATTTCGAACACCATGCATACCATTTTATTTTTCTGTTATTTACCAATTTCATTGCACATCTTGTAACAAACTGTTCATCTTTAAATTAGAAACATACAGTGCTCAAAATTTGTTTACATAACATATTATCACATAAATTTGTTAATAAAAAAAGCATATTTATTTAAAAACTACGGTTATTGGGCAGCAAACATTTGCAGTAGATACATTTGATGAAATACTTAAGCAAGAAAGAGTTTTATGTTAAAGTCTGTTTAAAAAAAATTCAAAGATTTTTTTCTAGTTAATAAAGATAATGGATTATGTTTTTCTATATATTAGTGTAAAGGGACAAAATCCATATTAAATAAGAAAAAAAAATCTTTCTAACAGTTGAGGATGATTTAAGTAAAATAAAAATGTGGCTCTGGGTCTCAATGTCTTATTTTAACTTACTAATGCTGATCAACCAAATAAACAAATGTTAAAACTATACAATCATAACTGCATTAAAAGTGTCAGTGTGTAACAATACAAAAAGAAAATAAAATAAAATATTATTTATTTATCTCAGATGGAAAGAACACGTTACTTTTTTGAACAAAAGAATAAGGAAACCTATATATTTATTTTATCAAAATTGAGATATTCTCAAAAAAAGATCTATTACTACTTATTTATAATTACTCAATTAACAGTTGCCAATACCAACTTTTTTATTTTAAATGCAACTCCCTGTATAATTTTCAATTTTTGGATTCTTCAGAAAATTCTAAAATTAAGTTACTTGTGGTAACTTTCCCTGTGGAACAATCTTCGCACTTGATTATACTGTTCACCAGCGTACAGAGCCCTATTGCTTGTCCTTTCTTTAGTTTGAATGGTCCCTTCGATAAATTTGCATACCTTACTGGAATTAGTTGATCAACGTTAACGAGACATCTAGCTACCAGAATTCCATCACTAACAGATTATTTACCTTCCGCAATACTCACGTGTAAGCCGTGTGATATCTCGTCTCGCCGAGACGACAGCTTCAGAATTTTGGGGTACTTCTATGTCTTTTTCCACTTGGACCTTTTCTTCTGAATTTAGAACAAGTTTTTTGTTTGCAGTTACCAAGATCTTGTTTCATATGTCGATGATAAACTTATTTTGCATAATGTCTATACCAAGGACACACCTATTCTTAATATCGGCCACCAGAAATAAGTATTCTATCAGGGTATTACCAATCTGTACGGTTGCTGATATCTCGCCTAGAACAGGAGTAATCTGCCCTGTAGATGTTTCCAGAACTACGCTCCTTTGAGGTGGTCGTGGTTTTTGATGCAGGATCCCCATGGCCGACTAGAGGGGGGGTAGCCGGGACTAAGATGGGGGCCCGGCAGCGATATAAGGGTGGCCCGGCAACTGGATTTTTTTGGTTTTGTATAAGAAATTCGACACAAGACGAGGAGAAGGAAGTTTGGGACCTGTTTTTTTTTTTAGGAAAATCAATTCAAGTAGAAAGAAGATGAAGTTTTTGTTTGAAGAGCTTTTTTGTGTCACGGGGCCCGATCTTGAGAATTGTCCTGTGGCCAGGCGTGGCTCTCAGCGGCCCTGATAATCCCTGTTTGAATGATAGACTTGATTGCACCAGTATCAAGGACGAAGGTGTCTTCTTGGTTATCAATAAACCCCTTGAACAATAGATTTTGTTCATTTTTATCTAAGGTGTAAGTGCGAATTTTGAGGCCCTCTGTCACAGCCGGCGCCTGCCCTGTAGTGTTGACTGTTATTCGTTTCCCTGGGTATTGCTGTTATTATTTCCTGTTGGACTTCGTAAATTTCTAAACTTATTCCCTGTTTCTCGATTTATAGAACACGCCCTGATTCTAAAGGTTCTTTAAAGATATTCGATTCATTCGCAATTAAAGCATTTTCTGCTCTTAGAATGTTTTAGATTTGTAAGAGACTAGGTTGGAGGTGTTAGTAGTGGCTTCTTTACTTTCCTTGAATCTAATTTCTCTCAATTTTGCGCGAGAGTATCTAGACATAATTTTCGCTGCTTCATATTCCTGGGCTGCAACCAGAGTCTCACTCAGCGTCTTGTGGTATTGCAGGCTAAGAGCTTACTGCATTTTCTCATCTGGTAGTCCATCGATAAATACTTGCATGACGATTCGTTGTAGAAAATCTTTGGGCATCCTTTCATATCGGCCTTGAATTCTTGTAGATTCTCATTGTATTTTTGACTACGACCTTTTAGCTTGCTTTGGAATACCTGTTTTAAATGCTGCTGCCCATATATTGTTTCCAAAGATTGGACAAGAGATGAATAACTGGGGTCTCTTCAAGGAAGTAACAGCGACACTATCAATGAAACCACCATCTTATTCTCAGCCCAGCTATTGACTCTAGCTGCAGCTTCATATTGGATTCGATACGTTGCCTATGTTATCTGACCGTCAAACGTGGGTGGCTTAAGAGTTTTTCTATTATGGTTTTGTGAAACTGGGGTTTGAACGTGGCTTGGTTCGGTTATAGATAAAGACGAGGTAGTGTTCTCAGCTTCAACGTTGCTTACCGAAGCTTGGCTATAAATTCTTCTTTCAACTCTACTATTTCAGTTGTAATTTGTCTTTCCAACTCTGCTCTAGCCTTTTCTTGTTGTTGCTCTAAATTAGCCTTTAAATTATTTTGTTGTTGGTCAAATTAGCTTTTAAATTCCCTTGTTGTTGCTTTAAATTAGGTTTTAAATTTCCTTTAGATGTTCTTTGAATTTAGTTTGTAAATTTTCTAAATTAGTTTTTAGGTTCTCTTATTGTTGGGCTAATATATCTACTCGACTGTTAAGCTGACCTACTTCTTGATTGAAATTCTCTTGAGTTTGTAGCAAATCATTCATAATTTCAACCACTACTTTTCTACGTCTCTCTTTCTTCTTTTTTCTCATCCTTTTGGCGCCTTTCCTTTTCCTCCTCTTCTTTCTTCCTTCGTCTTTTCTTCTCCTCTTTCCCTTTCCTTCTCGTCTTTCTTCCTACGTCTTTCCTTTTTCCTCTTCTTACTTCCTACGCCATTCTTTGTCTTTTTCCATCTTTAAAAACCATGCCTGTTTCGTACTCAGTATTTAGTAGAATTTATCATGAACTTTTGTTTTGGATCCCACCGCTGCCACCAATGTTACGCAGATTTTTGGTATTTTAATTAATTGTAACTTAATTTTTAACTGATAACACTACCATATAATGTCTATCATAAAAGTAAAAACTGCTATCAGGATCATCGACTTATAGAGCTTGCCTTCTCGAACCTTCCCGAACTGTCCAGATTTTTCTTGACAAAGAATGACATTTTATGTACCTGCTCCGCTTTGAAAAGAGCCAGGTTTCAGTTTTTCGGATTTACTCGACTGGAGCATACAGACTTTAAAGAAGTCTTGCAAAATTCGGCCATGGCCTTCATCAAAAGTTCTGGCATGTACGGTGAACTATAAGTAAGTCATTAGCCAGAATAGATCCATCTGGGTCACAGTGGAGGGCGATGAGATCATCCCACCCTTTTATACCCTAACCTAAAATTGGACGAAAATTGGTCTTTAGGATGCTGTATTAAATGTTAGTAAAAGTATAATTTACGTTGAGAAAAGCTGGCAAAAACAAAACTCTTACGAAGATCTTTCAGACAAGATGTAGAGAAGGTGTCTAATGAAAGTGAGGAGAGTGCTCTTCTAGAAATTTAACAGCTATAGCAAGAATAATGTTATTATTATTATTATTTTATTTGCAGAGCCTTTGGCTGGCACAACAATTTACAATCTTCTTGGCATTGACAAAATTAAATGTCGCATGTCATAAAAATCTACGAGTTCACCCCAAGTATTTTCAATAATTTGCCATTATTGACTGCGGTTTGCCGGCTAAGAGTCTCTTTGACTATGATGCCCCACACATTTTTAATGGGGTTCTAGTCAGGAATTTTTTTATGTTGTTGTTGATCTCCTCTCTTACAATTCGAGCCGTATTAAGTAAATACATATTATGTTATAAAAATATATTATTACGGATATTCACAAGTACACCAAACTGATTTCTTACATGTTAAAAGAAAAAAGTTGTGGAAAAAATTTGTCAAATTGATAGTAACATCACGTTGTCTACGATGTATATGTAATGCTCGGCTGTTAACCGCCCATCAATTTTGCAATACATTTCATGCCCAAACATAGATGGAAAAGCAACCTGTATAAGTATTACTTAATGTATTTTTTTTTTTAATTTTGAGTTTCTAGAACGGTATACTCGTATCCTGCTGTCAGAAGATTCATCTAGAAATACTAAATTTTCTCCATCTTAAAGTTTTGTGATAAACTAAATGACCAATAATTAATTTTTTCTGTATTTTTTGTAGTTTTTATGAACTTCTTTATGTTATTCTTTACATTTAATTATTATTATCTGTTATTGGATATAACTGTTGAAAATTAATATTTTTCTAAAATAATAAACGGGGTTATTTGATATTTTTATATACCTATTGCATTAATTTAATAAATTCACTCTAACCGATTACGTTGACCTGGAATATTAGTTTTAACCATATTACCAGAAAGTTAGGGTATAACAGAGAGCAGGTAAAAACTTCACAAGTTGCTCGTTACAAAGCTATTTTATAGGACAAAAATTTCTTTCTTCGAGACTCTAATCACTTGAAAACGGCCCTTCGGTCGATTTACGTAATGTTTCCTATAACATTTTATGAACTTCTTGTAATACAGTGAACTTATAATAGAAGGTTACTCGAACGGTTTACTTAGCTTTAAAGGTTTAAAATTTATATTTAGTGCCCAAATGTAATATTCTTTGAGCCTAATATACATAAAAAAGTTAGGGAAAATGATAAATATAAAAAATATTTGATTACAGATATTTTTATGTCGTAATATATCTGAAAGAAAAAAATTTATTTGCTTAGATATTAATAATTTATAAAATATTAGTTTTTTAATGTTACTACGCCGAATGTTCCAGTAGTCTGGTACGTTATCAATTTTACTTGTATAGTATTTAAATTAAAGTAAAATAATTTAATATAAAGCATACCTAGTCACAACCCGTATCTTATGGCGGTTTTCCACT